GCGACCGCAGCAGCGACCCCGGGCTCCGCCAGTGTGGAGTGGGCGTGGCCGTCGTGAGCACCTGTAGCGAGTGCGAGGACGACCGCCCGAGGCTCGCGGCGGGGGTCGTGGCGGGACTGCCTGGGACCAGGCAGACGGTCCCGCGGGCAAGGCTGTGGGCTTCCCTCCTGGTGCTGGGGGCTGCGAGAGGCGACCTGCGCCACCGCGCGGACAACATGCCGCCGGTGACGGGGTGGCGCAGTGGACGGCAGAGGAAAGCACCGAGAAGTGCGAACGCAGATTTTTGTGGCTGGCCGTACGGGCAGTGTCCAGAATTCAAGTTGTGTTTTTGCGCAGTCACCAAGCAGAGGAGCTCACGAGGGGTGAAGCCCCGTACTAGCTCTGGCAGATTGTAGGAAAGGGGTGCGCCGACATTTCTGCTGGTCAAGCTGCCGCCGAGGTTTTGAGCAAAGCCACCGTTCAGCCCGAAGTGGGTAGGGTTGATGCGATGGCGCACGTCGTGCGGCGCAGAGCTGTACATGCAAATCTTGACTGCGTGAATCTCGACCCCACCAAGTCGAATGCAGAGCCCCGTGGCCGTAGAGCGTGCAAGCAGGCGATCCTGATCGCTTCGTCTCGCCACCATCTTGAGCTTGTGGCTGCGGGGTGGCATTGCCGAATCTGTGAGGGATGTGCCCTGCGCGCGGACCTGGGGTGGTTAGCGAAGCCAGAGTACAGGCCACAACAATTTGCACGAGCTGGCGCGGTGTGCGTGCATCGTCCTGGGGCGGGAGGGCCGTCGTAGTCGGGTCTGAGTGTGGGTGGGGAGGCACTGCGCCCGTCGCACAGCCTCTCGCACAGGGACTTCAAACGACTAGGACGGCATGCCCGGGCTCAGTCTCGCGGGCCTACTCTAAAATCGCACGTTGAAATTCATTGTTTTGTTTCATGCCCTGCCGTCGTGGCGCGAATGATGCTCGTAAACTTAGTTTAAAGATGGTCACGGTTATCTTCCCCCAGATGTTCCTCGGGATTGTCCTTCAGGTTTTCACCCAAATCTTCCCCCAGATGTTTCCCTTGATCTCCCCGCGGATCTTCACCCGCATCGCCTCCCAGATCGTCACGCATATCTTGAGGTCTTCTTCCAGATCGTTATTCAGATCTCCTCCTCCTTTCCCCCTTATAATCCACCCCCGGATCTTCACCGAGATCTTCGCCCAACTCTTCTCCTTTCTCTGCACCAAGATCTTCCTTCATCATATCCTCGCCCAGATCTCCTCCCAGATCTCCCCCAAGATCTTCCCCCAGATCTCCCAGATCTTTCCCCAGATGTCCCCCCCCCAGATCTCCCCCCCAGATCTGGGGGGAATATCTGGGGGATCGAGGTTCGAGACCTTCTGGCCTTCGGACCTTGTTGCAGATCTTCCCCGCGCGTCCTTCTCTAATTTCCCCCAGATATTCGCCCAGATCTTCCGGCAGACCTTCCTCCAGATTTTCCCCGGGATTCTTCCCAGCATTGTCCCCCAGATCTTTCCCCAGATCTTCCCCCAGATCTTCCCCCAGATATTCCTCCACATCTTTCCCCAAATCTTCCCCCAGATCTTTCCCCAGAGCTTCCCCTAGTTCTTCCCCCAGATCTCCCCCCAGATATTCCCCCAGACCTTTCCCCAGATTTTTCCCCAGATCTTACCCCAGATCTTTCTCCAGAGCTCCCCCCAGATCTCCCCCCAGATCTTCCACCAGATCTTCCTCCCGAGATCGTTCCCCAGATCGTTCCCCAGATCTCCTCCCAGATCCTCCCCCAGATCTCCCCTCAGAGCTTCCTCCAGCTCTTCCCCCAGATCTCCCCACAGATCTTCCCCCAGATCTTCCCCCAGATCTTCCTCCAGATCTTCGCCGAGATTTTCCACCAGATATAATCCGAAAAGTTCCCCCAGATCTTTCCCAAAATCTCTCCCCGGATGTTTGCCAAGATCTTCCGCCAGATTTTCCCCCAGATCTTCCTCCAAATCGTCACCCAGATCTTTCCTCTGATCATCCCCGATGTTGTCCCGCTGAGCTTTTTCTATGTTTCCCCAATGTATGCACCCTGATATTGATTCAGACCTTCCCCCAGATTTTCCGCCAGATCGTCCTCCAGATCTCCACCCAGATTTTCCCCCATATGTTTCCCCATATCTTTTCCCGCAGATCTTTCTCCAGATCTTCCTGAGATCTTCCCGCAAATCTTGCTGCAGATTTGCGACGCACTACACCGCCAAATCTCCCTCAGCACATTCCCCAGATGTTCGCCCAGATCGTCACCAGATGTTCCCTCAGATGTCCCTCCAGATCTTCCTCAGACTTCCCGCCTAATCTTATATCCGAGATGTTCCCTCAGATCTCCCCCAGATCTTCCGACACATTTTCCTCCAGATTTATCCCTTTGCAACCGCGCCAAATCTTCCATTGGATATTCCCCGTCTCCCGACAGATCTTCCCCCAGATCTTCCCCTTGCAATTCCAGGGCATCCCTTGTTTTGTTTCATGCGCGTCGTGGGTCCAGCTCTTGTTTTTTACGATTCCGAATTTTGTTCTCTGCCTCGCTTCGGGGCGGCGATCTCTACGCGACAACCTAGAATGTAAACTTCCTTGTGTTTGGAATTCCTGTTTTCTTGTCAACCTCCCTGTATGTTGATCCTTTCGATATGTATGTCTGTTCCTCCTGTGGGGGGTGTAGCAGTCTAATGGTAAGAACGCTGGCTGAGGAGCGTGGCCATCAGGCAGCCAGGGGCGAGCATAATCTTAGGCGAATTGCGCGGGGCTTGTGGCCCCACCCGAAGGGCATGCCCAAGAGAGTTCAGGAGGCCCTGCGCTGGCGGGGTACCAACCGAGCTGTCGCAATTGCTAATGCTAATGTGCACGTGCACGCGTGAGTGTGTGTGTGTGTGTGTATAGCATGCTTGCAAGCCTCAGATTGCGATTGCGTGCTGTTAATGCCGATATCCCTCCCTTCCTACCTCCTCCCCTTCCCTCCCTCCCTCCCGCTCACTGCCCCCCTCCCTCCCTTCCCTCCTTTTTTCCCGAGCGAGCAAAGAGGAGCCAGGGATCTGGGTGGAGCCAGTTCCCATCAGAGAGAGATCACCTGTCCGTCCATCCCCTATCCCGGTCCCTCTCCCCCCTGCCCCCCTCCCTCTTCCTCCTCCTCCTCCTCCTCCTCCTTATTACGTTGTCATTGACCCCGTTCCGTTCCCTTCCGTTCCATTCCATTTCATTCCGTTCCATTCCATTCCATGCCATTCAACCCCATTCCATTCCATTTCCATCCCATCCTATTCCATTCCAGTCCATTCCATTCCAGTCCAGTCCAGTCCAGTCCAGTCCAGTCCAGTCCAGTCCAGTCCATTCCATTCCATTCCATTCCATTCCATTCCATCCCCCATCCCTTTCCGTTCCGTTCCGTTCCGTTCCATTCCATTCATCCTCCTCCTAGATCCTCCCTCCTGGGTTTCCCCTCCCCTCCTCCCCGATCCTCGCTCCTCGCTCCTCTTCCCTCGCCCTCCCCCGTCCCCCTTCTCCCTCCCTCGCCCCTCTCCCGAGCCCCCGAGCCCTCGATGTGCGCTCCTCGCCCCTCCTCGCTCCTCGCCCCTCGCCCTTCTCTGTCCTCTCCCCGCCCCTCCGCCCCTCTGCTGCCCCCCCCCTCTCTGCGGGCGTCCGGGGCGAGGCCTTCGCTGCCCCGCCCCGCCCTGGGCGGGGCAGCGGGGAGGCTGGGCCGAGGCCAGGGCTCCTTTCGACTCCTCCGAGGCGGTTCAATTTCGATTCCGATGAGGGGGGGGAGAAGGAGGATGAGGAGGAGGAGAAGGAGGAGAAGGAGGAGGAGGAGGAGGATGATCATGAGGAGGAGGAGGAGGAGGAGGAGGAGGAAGAAATGGAGGAGGAGGGGGAGGAAGACATGGAGGAGGAGGAGGCGGAGGAGGATGAGGAAAAGGAGGAACATTAGGAGGAGGAGGCGGAGGAGGAGGAGGACCATGAGGAGAAGGAGGAGGAGGAGGAGGAATAGGAAGGGGAAGCACAGGAGGAGGAGGAGGAGGAGGAGGAGGAGGAGAAGGGGGCGGAGGAGGAGGAGGATGACGGTGATGATGATGATGATGATGATGATGATGATGATGATGATGATGATGACGATGACGATGATGATGATGATGATGATGATGATGATGATGTTGGTGCTGATGAGTATGATGCTGCTGATGATGATGCTGATGCGGATGCTGATGCTGGTGATGATGCTGATGCTGATGCTGATGATCCTGATGATTATGATGAGGATGCTGATTATGATGCTGATGATGCTGCTGATGATGATGATGATGATGATGACGACTATCATGATGCTGAGGATGCTGGTGGCGATGTTGATATTGACGATGATGCTGATGGTGGTGATGATGATGATGCTGGTGAGTTTGCTTATTAGTGTGATGATGACGATGCTGATGCTTATGCTGCTGCTGGTGATGCTGATGCTGATGATTCTGATGACCATGATGCTGCTGCTGATGATGATGATGGTGATGATGATGATGATGATGATGATGATGTTGTTGTTGTTGATGTTGTTGTTGTTGCTGGTGATGATGATGATGATGATGATGATGATGATGATGATGATGATGATGCTGATGATGATGATGATGAGGAGGATGCTGCTGCTGATGCTGATGCTGATGCTGATGCTGATGATGCTGATGCTGATGCTGCTGATGCTGATGCAGCTGATGCTGCCGATGCTGCTGCTGCTGATGATGATGATGAGGATGAGGAGGAGGAGGAGGAGGAGGAGGAGGAGGAGGAGGGGGGCCGTCTCCGGTTCGAGTCGACTTCGGAGTACGATTTGGATTCCGATTTCTTGGTGGAGGCCTCACTGGCTCGGCGGTTTCCACCCACTCGGCTTCTCCTTTTTGGCCGCCGATTTAACGCCGGTCCGATCCATCTCGATCGCCGATCCGACTTATCGATCCGATTCTGGGCTCTCCTGCGAGGCTGCGGACAACGCCACGGTGCCGAACGCGGCCGCCTTAGCCTGCGGCCCGATCGTGGGAGGTGGCGCGGCGGGCGGTCGAGGGGTGCACAACGCCGGTGGAAGAGGGGTGGGTGGAGGTCAGAAAACGTTCACGATGGGCTCCGCGCTGGTTTTTTCTTGGCCGTGCCCCTCGGGTTGGGGAACCTGAAGGTGGCCCAGGCTCGCCCTTGCCAGACAAGCCTCTGCGTTTCAGATTCAGCTTTCTTCGGTAATAAATCATGGGAGCCTGGTATACCCTCTTCATTCCGTCTTCAGCGTCGACTAGCATCGTTTTACGTCTGGGAGTCGCTGGGATCGCCCGATTTAACGTCGACTAGCGTTGATTAGCGTAGATTTGGCGTCGATTAGCGTCGATTGAGCGTCGAGTGAGCGTCGAATCGCAAGAGCCGACAAGATGAGATATGGGAGGCTGTCAGGAATTGCCACCGACGCTTTCCTTCTGATAGCACGATGGCTTTAGTGGCTTCTCGTCGCCTCGGCTGGATCCGCCTCGAAGCCCAGACCAGAGCGCACCCCGCTAGCGCCGATCCTGAGGGGAGGAGCCAGACCGACGCCAGCGGCCTCGACACCAAAGCAGCACCGCAGCTCTGTCGCCACCTTTTTCGTCATCGGGGGGGGCAGCCCTTCCTGGCCCCGGGAGGCTGTATCCGAGCTCGATCGCCCCCCTCCCCTCCCCCCGCGCTGGTCCCTCCTGATCGTCCCCCTCCCGACAGGGGCCCAGGATCGGTGCACACGCCTCCCCTGCCAAAGCCAGGAGGGCGAGTGCACCGATCCTGGGCCCAGGACAGGCCTGGACCGGATCGGTGGAGCTCTCTTTCTTCGTCCATGCTGCCCTCACGACATCGGATGGCCGGGCCGTTCAGGGCTGCGTGCTTGTTCCGACCGGGCGCGCACGGGCCAAGGCGACCGCCGCTGCCGAGAACGCGACGGCGACGGCCAAGTGAGTAGGCGGCAGGCGCATCTACTCCCAAGACCACGTGCTGATCCTATCCATGCGCGTCCAAGCCACTCTGATATGCTTGGATGGATGTACCCTCCCCCACGACTGATGGGCCTGTTGTCCACCACCACCACCATAAGTTGGAGGGGGGGAGGAGGTGGAGGGTGAGGAGGAGGAAGGAGAGGAGGAGGAGGAGGAGGAGGAGGAGGAGGAGGAGGAGGAGGAGGAGGAGGAGGAGGAGGAGGAGGAGGAGGAGGAGGAGGAGGACCCCCTCCCGCTCCTGCTTATGGTGGTGGCGTGGAAAACAAGCCCACCACCGACGGCTTCATTCAGCCGCAGGCATCCTTCGAACTCTTGAGCCCCCTCCAAGTGTTTCAGCAGTGTGGAAGTGACCGCACGGGAAGGGTTTGCCCGTGCCTGCTTCAGACTGGCCACCACCGGGAGAAGTGTGATCCTCCCCCTCCCTGCGTTGGAGCCCGTCGCATCGACACCCCGCTTGAGAGATCATCTCGGCCACGCGCAGAGGGGGGTAGGGGGAGGGGGGAAGGTTTCTTAGAAGCACCCCTGCTTCTTAGAAGGCGCGGGCCTTCTCTACAGATGTAGGGCCGGCGCCTTCTAAGGAGCAGGGTGCTTCTACTAAGAAGCCTCCCCCCCTCCCCTACCCCCGTGGTGCACGCCGCCAAAGATCATCGGCGCTATGGGTGAAGGGCTTCTCCGAGAGTGTTTAGGAGCACAGCTCTTCCAGCCTGAGCGGATCACGATCAGGCAGGCGGGCAGTGCAGGATGGCGACTGATGAATCCCTGGGGGGCCCGTCACGCAGCAATGCCCTGGAGATTCGTATAAGTGTTCAACCATTTTGATACACTGGGTTCCAGGCCTGCTCGGCGGTTTCGTCGTCTTTGTTGTCGTCATTGAGGATCTTTAGCCGTCCTCTCCAAGATCATTCCAAAGGGCAGATGCTCGTTTGTTTCAGTCGTCCCCCTTTGTTCCCTGAGCAGCTTGTCTGCAAAGGTTTTGTAAACGCTTCCGACGCCCGGTGAGGGTTCCTGGGCCTCCGAAATTGGCGTCCCGTCGTGGCCCCCAAATCGGGCCCCCAACGACCAGCAGCTAGCAGGGAGGAAGGACAAGTGAGGAGGGACGCAGGTGGGGCAGTAGTAGGAGGCGGCGGAGAAGGCGGAGGGGGTGGACCGAAAAGGGAAGATGGAGGAGGAGGAGGAGGAGGAGGAGGAGGAGGAGGAGGAGGAGGAGGATGAGGAGGAGGAGGGTGACCCCCCCCATCGGGCCCCCGATACCGGCGGCGCATCGTGGTCCCCATCGTGACGTCCCATCGTGGCCCCCCCCCCCCCCCCACCCGTGACATCTCATCGTGGACCCCCGTCGTGACGTCCCCATCGTGACGTCCCATCCCATCGTGACATCCCATCGTGGCACCCCCGGCGTGGCCCCCCACCGTGCCCCGCCGCGGCGAGCCCTGCGGAGCTGCTCCCCGGGCCCCTCACTCTGGTGGCCCGCCGTCGTGGGCCGTGTGCAGAGCTGCCTTGGGCCTCTGGCCGCCCGGGCCCTTCTTGTCATGGCTTCTCGACCGCCGTCCTGCACCGGCCAGCGAAGCAGGGACGCAGGGAGCCGGGGGCGGCAAAGAGGGGGGTGATGACGAGGGGGGGGGGGATTTCATGGCGTGGGCCATGATGTTTCCTCAGACTTCGTGGCGCCTCTTCTTATTTCGTCACGTTCCTGGCACCCCCCCCATGGGGCCGCGCACATGCCGCCTGCCACGATTTGCACACGCCCCTCCTGGACACCCCCCTCTTGGCCGCCCCCGAGGGAGGCGAGACCGGCGCGGACACCTGGCGGCACCGCGGTGGCCCGAGAGACCCCACGCTCGAGAAAGTA